TCAGATGGTTGTGGCAGCTTCGATGGGGTCCAACGAATCTCCAGATGAAGTCCCAAGCCTTGGTGAATGGTCTAGGTATGGATTCGATCAAAGTGATTTTCAGGTGTTGGTATAAAGCTAGGTTAGAGGTTGTTTGAGGGAGGGGGGTTTGTGGGGAGTCAACTTCTTTCACTGTGGGGATGGTGTGTGCACAATTAATTGGAGTTTAGTTAACTGTGGAGGCGTGGAGAGATCTATCCTAGTTTTAGGGCAAATTTCAGTGAAGAAATTGGCTCTTTGGGGTGGCTATCAGTGGCTCAGAGCAAGGGGATTGCACTTGGCATTGCTTGGAGAAGCTCTTGTGAGATTTTGGCAAAGTTTTCTTAAGGTTCCAAGCACAGTTCCAAGCACTCTTCTCCTTAGTCATGGAGAGCTCCATTTAAAGCAATGGCTGCCTAGTGGAGATCAGGGCTTAGAGTTGGGTGCTAAAGCTTGCTGAGGTGGAGAATGTTTGTGAATAAATTTTGAGTTGTATTAAATGGGAGTGAGCCAAGTCAGGGAGCTTCAATTTTGGGTTTTGGCCACTTGGGGCTCCCTTGGGCTGACTGTTTCCAGTGGTTGAGGAGGTGGCTGGCAGGGTTCAGTCACTTATTGGCTTAGGGAGGTCAGGGGGTGCTTAATGACGGTTAACCCCCAAGGGTAAGCTATAATGAAGGAGATATTTCAAGTTTAGGAATATGGGGTAAAATCCCTTAAATCAATGGATATTGGTCCATAGCTCATTTTGGATGGTTTAGGCGGGTCTAACCTGGTCCATAGGGTGCACTTGGTTGTTGTGGTGTCATCAATTTGGTGGCTTAGGCATGTCTAAGTCAATTTTGGTGTATGTGTCCAATTTGGGTCCAAATGGCTAAAAGTTGGGTTTGGGTTAGACTAGCCATAAATTTGAGCTCAATTTATTGATCAAAATTTTGTAAATGATTGTCATGAAGATTTTTGGTGAAGGATTGAAATGATTTTGAGTTCAATTGGAAGCTCAATTTGAAGGATTTTGGGATTTTGGTCAATTTGGGCATGTTGGACTAGGCTTGGGTCTAGGTTGGGCTAAGGTTGGGCTAATTCCAAATTGATGGTTGAAAATGGTCCATAGGAATGTCATGAAGAGTTTTCAACATAAATTGGGAGTCAATTTTTGGGTTAGGGCATTCAATTTGGTGGAATTTGGAGACAACCAATTTGGGGCAAATTTGGGGATTTTTGGATTTGGGTCAAAATTGAGTGCAATTGAAGCTTTACCAAGTCCAATTGAGGGTCAAATTTGATGTGTAGGATTGTTATGAAGAGTTTAGGATTTAAATTGGGGCAAATTAAGTAGTCTATGGGGTTCAATTACGTGAGATTAGGTCATAGGACAAAAATTGGGGGTTTGACTTAGATCAAAATTGAGCTCAAAGCATGGGCTAATTGGGCATATATTTGGTTTAAATTGGTTACGTAAAATATTAATTTTAGTTTAGAATTGAAATTAAGGGGAGTTGGGCTCAAATTGATGGACATTTAAGGTGAATTTGGGGAAATTAGGCCTTTAAAGACAATTTGGGGCTTTTGGTCAAAATGGCCAAATTAGCCAAATTGTATTCAATTGGAGGGTCAAAATTGGTTTTGGAGACAATTGAAGAGATTTTGGATGGTTTGGAAAAGTTTGGGGTGCCAAGGGTATTTTTGTAATTTTGGCAATTTGTGGGGTATTTTGGAATTTTTGGGTAGATTTTGGAAAATTGGGTATTTTGAAATGGTTTGAAATGATTTTTGAACAAATATGGGGTTTTTGGGTGAATTTGAGGATTTTGGTCAAATTTGGGGTCTCAATGACATTTAGGTAATTTGGGTGGATTTAGGGCCAAAAGACCAACTTGTATATTTTGGTAGAATTGGGGTACCAACCACCCTATATGAGCTATGGACCAATGAAATCTTCATTTGGGTCCTTTATGTAGTGGTCTTAGCTAAACCCTAACCTAAGGCTAGTGGGTCTAGGGGACCATCTACATGAGTCTCCCAAAGGATCAAGGGATCAAAGTCAACAATTTGGGTATTAGGATTGTGAGTGATTGTGGGTGAAAGTGAGTGCAAGTGAGTGAACTAACTCCAGACCAACACCCAGAGTCAACCCTATGGTCAAGCAGTCCTATGGGGACCCTCCTTGAGATCCTCCATACTGACCTCATCTACTAAGTACTAGAGGTTATGACCAATATGTGGAACTTTAAGTTGAGCAAAGAGAAGTTTAGAGTTTCTAATCGTGAGGGCTCCTTTTCTAGTTTTCTAGGAATAGTCAATAGGAAAGTTCTTCGGCTAGACCCTAGGCTACCAAAGATGGAAAATTAAACCTCAACCAAAAGTGAGGTTAGCATGGTCTAGGGTGGGCAAGAAATCTTCTTCACAAAAACATTAAAATGATGCTCATTTATTTGGAAGAACATGTTATAAGGAGTGAAATAGTAGTAAAATCTTAGTGAAAAGTAAAGTTTCGCTCACTCGTGTGATTCAACAAGCGAAAGGTTGTGCGAACCATGGTGGTTGATCGAAGTACAAAGCAGTTTCTATTGTTAAGAAACTTTAAGAAGAAAATATGATATTAGAATCTCGATCCAGAAGTCTACTATGTTGGAGCTCGATCAACTTTCTTCTCTTATGAAATAGGAAAAATAATCCAAGATCCTTATTAAAACTTATAACTTATAGTAGATGTTGTCTTCTAAATTTGTAAGTGTGCAACATAAGGGTCAACAGAAGTTACGAATTTTAAAGGCCCATATCTGAAGATCAGGTCATTCTTAAGCTAAGCCCACCTAAAAAAGTGGTTGAGCAAAGCCCACTTGTCGAAATGGTCGGACTCAGACAACTTACCAAAGTGTTCAAACTAAGCCCACCTACCGAAGTAATAGAGCTAGTATAGGGAAATTGAACTGATTGAGAAAGAAACATCATTCCTCAAAGTACATGTGTCTCTCTAGGTTCTTGAGAATCTTAAGGAATCCAAGAATGTCCACAAGGCGCAACAACACCACCGAACATGAGATCAACCTTATCATCTAGCTTGAGCTCGATTCCACCAAACCTAAATTTCTTAGCATTTGGCACAACCTGTCATTCACACAAACAAAGGAAAAATCATTTCTATTAATTTTGAGTACAATGTAACTGAATAGCTACATTTAATTAAAACTTTATTTTGCCTATAATTGCTCCTTCCACCAATATGTTGATGCACCTATGGTGTTCTTAATTGGATGTCAACCAAGTCAAGTAGATCCTCTTTTGAGCTCTTTCCAAATTTTACAGTCTTTTTTTAATTGATCTCATTTATTCTTCAATTGTGTTCCATCATACAATCTTTCAGTTCCCCCTTGAAAAATGTTATGCAAACCTTCTCTGTTGAAATGTGTTGTCTGCATTTTTTTTTAATTCAATATCTCTCAAGCAAATGTCATAAAAATCATGTTTGTTTCTTTCTCCCAAGTAGTGGATGATGTGCTATCTCTTGTATTACCCATTTATTATTATATCTAACACCTTGATATACGATTTGAAATGTTATGTAATCATAAAAGATTTCAAGACATTGATCATAAAACTTTAAGGCACAAATGGATTTCTTCTTTCATCAAGCTTCAAACACATACCACACTCAGTTCTACAATTTTGTGAATCTAACATACATCCCAAAAACAAACAATGTACATCACAAAGAGAAACATAAAAGTGAAACGGGATAACAAAACTCTAATTTTAATACCTCTTCTAGTAACTTTGAAAAGTGAAGTCCACATTTTTATACATAGCTTTGTGACACCAAAGACAAGAATCATTAGGAATTCAAGTAAGTTATTCTTTCTGTGAATTGTTTTAAAGGATCACTCGCTTTTTTGCATTAAAACAAAAAAAAATGTAAACTAGTGTTCCACAAGGAGCTGTATGTGCCACTACCAACAAAAAATATGTAAACTTTAAGTGCAGTCCTTGGAAAGTAACCACTAATCATATGGAAGTAACTTTGCTTTGAGCCACAATAACTTACTAAGATGCTTAGCATAAGTTTCATTTTCTCTTAGAAGGTAGTAGTTATCAATTCAACCACAATTTCTCTAAAAGGTTAGCTCTATGTTCAAGAGCTACAAAAAGATCAAGGTCGGAAAAAAAAGAAGAAGAAGAATTTTGTCAACTCATACTAATCACTTACATAAAAATTTTGCTTTGACATAGCTCTCTCAAGTAAATAACAAAATAAACTAAATCATCAAATCATCAAATCAAAAAGATGAAATCTGAAGTTAGTAACAGCTGATCAGACAAATATTTTAAGTGACACATCCTCTATTTACTTCAATAAAACAAAATATTTATTTTGACTAATCATCAACTAGGATAACAAATTAATATATAAAAAATTAAATAAGATTTTTGAAAATATCATAAAATAATTACATGCTGATCTAATTTTTCTTTTTTTTTTCTCCCTACAATTACTTTGAAATATAAAGAAATAATGGTACGTACATATGTGATACAATTGTAACATTTGAATATGTTCTTAAACGTTAGGGGACATCAACTGTCTTGTCTTATGCTTGATAATTATTTATTTTTAAATTTATTAATTTAACATACATATCTAATCCAAACTAACTGTAAATCTTAATACTTTCAAAGTAAATCTCGCTATTTATAATTTTAATTATTATTATTATTAAATTACTTTCGTTATATACTGTTTAATTGTAGTTTATTATTGTATTTCTATGTTTACAAAATTGTATTCAAATATAACATGCCGTATTTGGGTTCTTTTGAACCAATTAGTTGTTTTATAATATGTTCACATGCTCAGTCCATGTCCAACTGTCCCATCAATTGTCAAGTTGATGTCCGAAGATCGCAAATTGATCTTCCAGCTTGTTTAGTAGGAGCGATTATTGCGTCTCACTGTCACACAGCCGCGAATGTATGTCCTCCGAATATATGTCCTCCACACCTAATAATTAGACGTTTAGTAGGAGGTAAAATTACCCCTTTACATAAAATTTACTTAAATATTTTAGTTCTGAAAAAATAGTTTTAAATATGTTCATGTTATATTATTAAATGAAAATTTAAAGTCCACTGATGGTCAAATTTGGCTTGCAATTATAGTCCAAATATTTCCGTCGCTGTGTTACCTGCAAATGAAAATCAGAAATGTGAACAAATAAGTTAAATAATTCAAAAAATATAGCGTTGAAGGAAGGAAAATAGAACAGAAAGGAATTGCGCCAGTGAAAAATTTTGAAAGAAGGAAGGAAAATAGAACAGAAAGGAATTGCGCCAAATGGCGAAAAATTTTGAATAAAATTTTGAAAAATAATAATTGAAGAGAAATTCAAAAATGGAGGACGGAAAACGAGACGACAATGGATTGCCGATGAGATGAAGCTGACGCGAATTGCAGATTTTAATCAATCATAGAACAATGGAAGGAATCGCGTTGTATAACGATTAGTGATCACAGGAAATCGGATCGAGTGCTGTAATTTGGATTTTTTTTTTTTTTTTTTTGAGTTTGCCGATTGAGTTTTTAATGGAATCAAAGTTGGCGTTTGATTGCTTCTGTTGAACAAAGAAATTGAATTACAATTCTCAGATTTCTTCACAGAAGAAGGTTCGTTCTTCATCCTCCGTTCAATTTCGTTACCTTGAAAAAAACAAAATCATATCCTTATCCTTTCGGCAGGGATTGGACTACTGGCAGTAAGTGCCTTGATGAATCATACAGTAGCGGGCCATCGCAGGGCACCCATTCATAGGGTATCCGTGTAAGCGGGGACGATTGCCGGATTGAACAGCTCGGACGAATTTCTTCGCCGGTGAAGTTCCCTTGTGAACGGACTGATCAACGACGGTGTGAGCGGCGGGAAACTGGAAAGAAGTTTTATTCCCCGGCATCATTCGTGAGATGCAAGTACTCGGCGGACTAACAGATTTCCGAGATTTCGCTACAGTAGGGTGGAGAAAGGCGCGGATCTTTATCGGGAACCGACGATCCCGGGTTATGAGATCGTACTCCTCTATAAGATTTGCAAGATCCTCATCACATCTTATCGAAACGAGCGCATCGAGATCCTCCGTTGGAAGTTGACACCTCAGATTCACCTTCTCCCAGCCGCACAGCTTCCCCAACTTCACCTGAAGCCCTGTTCACAAACCATAACCCGATCATAAATCCGAATCAATTAAATCAAATTCAACTAATCCCAAAACAGCCATCAATTTTTCATGAACCCTAGAATAATATAAAAAGAAACCCTAACGTTTCATGGAGAAAAACAAAACCAGGGAAAACAGACGAACCTGAAAAGGGGATGAAGCGATCAACGGTGAGAACGCGGTTCTCGCCGCCGACGAAACGGAGCCTTCCGTCGGGATAACGGGGCAGGATTCTACCGCCGTAGCTGCAGAGGAACTTGACGGTGTTACAGACCTTGACGGTAGCTTCGTCACAAGAACTGAAAGAGTCGCAGGACAAAGTCGAAGAAGAAGAAGATCCCACCATGCCTTCACCGCAGCCGATGGCTTTCTCTCCTCTTACTCTACAATTTCCTCTTGGTCAAGAAAGTAAGAAGAAGAGATCTGAAGAGAAGAAGGTGCGGAGCAGAATTTGGGGCTATTGCTCTAAGCCTTTCTCCGCTTCCTCTGCCCTAATTTATAGGCAGTAGGAGGGAAATTGCGCAATGCCGACTCAGAAAATTTCGTGTTGGTGAGCTATAAATTTAAAAAAAATAAATAAAAAATTTAATTGACAAAAGGAATAATATAGGAATATTCCCAATTAATCAGTGGAAAAGGAATTTGTGTAGCTTCAGTCAAAATTCGGCGATTCGATTTCCCCATAACGAAGAGTTTAAATTCCGCCCGTTTCTGCCAAAAACATTAGTCGTTAACGTGTTGATAAGAAGGTGGAATAATTGAACACGCTGCACCCGAAACATTGTCAAATTATTGCCAATTTTGATAGAAATATAAAATATGAGTTCAGATGAGAATTTAAAAAAAGAATGATGAAATAGGTGCTAAATTTATAAATAGCAAATTATTATATGAGGACTCCTTATGCAGAGTTGTTTGCAGAGTCCAATCTAGAACTGACACGTGGAAAGCCGGGACTTACCTTCATAAAAAATAAAAAAAAAGAAAGAAAACGTGCGACCCAGTCCGACCATGTTATAGAAATACTCTCTTCGTGTTATTCTGAATATTTTATGTATTATTCATGTGTTGTTAATGTGTTATTGAGTTAATTTTGAGATATTATTATTTTTTAAACATTAATACCAATAACACGTGAATAACGCGGAAAATATTACTTCAATAACACGTGAATAACAAACCAATAACACATTAAAAACGCGTGACACGGCTCAATTGTGTTATAAGAATATTTCTTTCGCGTTATTCTGAATATTTTTTACGTTTTTCATATGTTATTGGTGTGTTATTGAGGTTTTATTCATGAATAACACACCAATAATATATTAAAAACGCGAAAAATATTCTTTAACATGAATAATACCTCAATAACACACAAATAACACATAAATAACTCGAAAAATATTCAGAATAGCGAGAGGCGGTCGGGTTGGGTCGCACGTTTTCATTCTTATTTTCATTTTTTATGCATGTGGATATATAACATCTAAATTTTGCATTTTGATATTTTTAACACTCAAATCTATCATACAATATATAAAAACTAACACTATTTAATTTTTTTAAAAGTGAAATGCACCTTTTAATGCAGTTATTGTGGCATATATTGAAAAAAAAATTAAATTTAGGTGTTAGATGTGTAGGTATGTAAGAATTAAGTGGTATGTATGAATGTAAATAAAATACAAAAATTACAAGTAAGCTATCTGAAATTCAAACAATAAAAACCATGTGCTAAAAATAATAATTTATGTAGTCAACAAATAAGAAAATTCTGCATTAGATTCATATTGATATTAAATTATTACATATTTTTATTAAATATATTATTAAATAATTTATAGTTAATAATTTTTTTCTTAATAAAATATCATATAATTATACATTATTTAACGAATTTATTTATTTAATAACAAATGAGTTTGTTGGTGAATATTCAAATGCAAAATGTATCAGTTGGACAAATTCAAATTTTAAATTTATGAATTTGCATTAAAATAAGTTCAATAGATGTTAGTTCCCATAGCTTGATACTTTGATCCTGCATACATTAAATTTTTGTAATTTGTTTCTTTGCTATTGAATAAGGCAATGTGTTATATGAAAGTAATATCATGTTATTTGCACATTAAGAGTATTGCAATCAGTAAAATATTTATAATATTGTGTGAAATTTCTAAATTGGGGATGATAACTATAAAGTATGGAAAGAGAGAATTCTCCTTTACCTGGGATGGATGAAAATTGGTTTTGTTATTATGAAAGATGAACCACTTACAGTTACTGAAACTAGTAGTACTTATGATGTCGCACTTTATAAACATTGGGAATGGTCTAATCGCCTTAGTTTGATTTTCATAAAGATGAAGATATTTGTTGGTATCGGTTCAGCTAATCAACATGACAATGTTAAAGAACTAATTAAGGCAATTGTTGAAAAATTTAACACTTCAGATAAAGCTTTTTTCAATACCATAATAATAAAGTTTTCATCCCTAAAGTTAATCAGAATAAAATGTGTGCTGGAGCGCATTATGCAAATGCGACATTATAACGTAATTGAAAATTCTTGAAGTTGATATGTCAAAATCCTCTTTCGTGCACTGTATTTTAAAAGCTATTTCATAGCAATATAGTCCTTCCAAGATATCTTATAACTCGCCCAAAAATAAATAGTTAATTAATGAACTTATGACCATGTGTGTTCAAGATGAATGAGAGTTAGCTATGGAAAATGGTGATAGTGCAATATTAGCTACACACAAAAAGGATGAGAGCTAAAGCCAAATTAAGAAGAAAGGGAAATGTAAAACACCACCCTAGGCTAGAATCTAAAAGGAATCCTAGTGTTCTTTCTATGAAAGAAAGGCCACATAAGGAATGATTTCATCAAATTGAAGGATTGACTTCATAAGAAAGGTAAAAAAATCTTATTTTTTTTGTTATGAATCTAGTAAGACTAATATTATTTATAACACTTGATGGATTGATTTTCGTTCTATAATTTATATTTGTAATACCTTTTAGGATATGTGAAACCTAAGGAAGATAGTGACAAGTGAGCAAAACATCTATTCAAGGATCTAGATGTGCTCACATGCAGAAGCTATAAGAACATGTTATGTAGTACTTAGTAGTAGCTTTTCTTTGAAACTTAAAAAAACTTTTGATGTACCTAATTTTTCTAGAAACTTAATTTCAGTTTCAAGACTTATAACTTTGGGATATCCTTTAACTTTTTAGAAACTTCTATTTGTTTAGATTAAGAATCTAAATTCATTCAGATATATTTTTTCATGGTATTTTCTATATCAATTTTGCAAAATACTTCTACTCATGTTGTGATGCATGTTCGAGCAGACATTAAAAGATGTTTTATAAATGAAATTTCCTTTATGTTGTAGCATTAGAGATTAGGACATATCTTCATAAATAAAATTAAATGATTAGTGAATGAAGGGGTATTTTGTACTTTGTATTTAACTGCCCTTGACTCTTATATATGTTACATAAAGGGTAAGCAAATTAATAAATTCAAGAAAGGTTGAAAGAGGAGTAAAAACACATTGGAAATCATATATACATATATTTGTTATCCAGATATGAATTCTCATGATTCTCCATACTTTATTATATTTTTTAATGACTACTCATGATGCATGTATCTCTAAACGCTTCATAATAAAAATAAAATATTAGATGTCTTTAAGATTTTCAAGAAAAAGTAGAGAAACAACATGAAAAATAAATTAAGATTGTGTGATCATTTAAATGTGGTTAGTATTATGGGATATATATTGAAGATGGACAAGTAGTTGGTCCATTAATAAAATTCTTCAAAAAAAAAAAAAGATTGTTGCCAATATAGTTCACCTGGCTCACCCTCAAAATGATGTGGCTTAAAGAAGAAATATGACCCTAATGAACATGGTAAGAAGCATAATTATTAGCTATAAATTATCTAAATTATTGTAGATTGAAGCTCTTAAAATAATAGTGTGCATATCAAATCGTGCTCCAACCAAGGTTGTATCTAAAACACCTTTGGAATTGCATAAATTTTGAAAACCATGTTTGTAACTTGTATGTGTATGGAGAAGTTCATGTGAAGTGACAATTTATAATTCATAAGAGAGAAGCCGTATTTAAGGACTATTAGTGGGTATTTCATTGGATATGCTGAAAAGTTCAAGTGTTACTGATTTTAATGTTCATCTAAAAATATTAGGATTGTGGAATCAAGATATGTAAAATTTTTAGAGAATGGCCTAATTACTTGTGGTAATTTTTTATAGAGCACAGTTCCTAAAAGGAACATTTTGATGCTTAACCTTCCATTTTAAGTGACTGGTTGATTATTTTCCATAACACTTCTAAAGATTAATTGAGTGTTGGACAACAAATAATTGAGATTCCATGAAATAGATCACTAGTTGTAAACATTCATGAGATATTAAAAACAATTGAACATCCAACTCCTCAAGAAAAAGTTGTTAGAACATTAAGAAGATCTATTAGGGAAAAAGGATCAATAATCTAAAGTGATTGCACTGTGTATACTCAAGAGAAACTATAACATTGGAGCTAAAAATGATCCTAAAACATTTTCACAAGCCATAAATTGTAAGGAATATGATTTATGGTTTGATGTCATGAAAGATGGGTTGAATTCTATGACACATAATAAAGTTTGGGATCTTAGTGCAAATGACATAGGTTGTAATTGGGTTTATAAAAAAAGAAAAAATCACAAGACAATATACAAAGATATAAAGCAAGACTTGTTACTAAAGGTTTCACTCAATGAGAAGGAACAAATTACAAGGAGATCTGTTCTCTTGTATTTATAATTGATTCCTTCAGAATAACAATGGCACTTATTGCACATTTTGATTTAAATTTTCCAACAATTGGATGTGAAAACTGCAATTCTTGATGGAGATCCTGATGAGGAGATTTATATGAAACAACCAAAATAATTCACTTCTAAAGATAATGAACATTTGGTGTACGAGCTTAAAAAATCTATTTATGAATTGAAACATGTCTCTCATCAATGATATTTAAATTTTCATGATGTAATTTCTTTATTTGGATTTGTAGAGAATTTCATAGATCAATGTATATACAAAAAGGTAGTAGAAGCAAATTTTAGTTTTTAATCCTTTATGTGGATGATATTTTACTTGCAACAAATGATGACATTTTATTATATGAAGTGAAGTAATTTCAATCTAAAATTTTTTATATGAAAAATATGGGTGATGCATTTTATGCCATTTACATTAAAATAAAAATAGGAAGATTTCAAGGCTTTTTATGTCTTTGTAAGTAGACCTATATCAATAAGGTTTTGGACAGATTCTGAATTAAAGATTGTATACCTAGTGCAGCTCCTCATTGTAAAGGGTGACAAATTCAACTTAAGTGATGCATTTTATGCCATTTACATTAAAATAAAAACAGGAAGATTTCAA